CACAACCATCATCCATTCATCTCTGGTGCATACTCAGTGACCTAGCTGAGGGCACCCAACCATTAAATTTGGAGTCATTCAACCATTAGCTTACAATTGTGTGTAGCCTCTCATTCTAGGCACAACAAATGTATTTCTTGATTGTTTCACAGATTTTTTTTACGAGCTCCATATAGGGTTCTCTTCCCGTGCTTTACGGGATTTCTGTTACCAAATTCTCTTTACAAGGAATATTCCCTGGTTTCTTGCATTTTGTTGTAGAGACGGACTTCTCATGTTCCGTATTGGCATTTTCTCTTCGAATTTAATGGGCTGTCAGGCTCTCTGGTGAAATGGATGTTTGAGCATTCCATTCGGCCCCTGAGGCAAACTTTCTCCCCTCGTGGCTCAAAAACTTCCTGGAGATAATGCCAGTTGAAAACTAATAAATAAGCGAAAATAAAATATTCCAGCTAATCGCTTATTCACTCATAATTGTGTCGCAATCCGGACGAACGATTTTTCCCTGTCAAAGACCCTCTCTCAGGAAGAGAGACCCACGCATCTTGATTTTTATGACCCAGTCGAATTACTTATGGGAAAAATAAATAAATAAATAAATAATATGGTTACCGGGGAAAACACATGCCCAAGAAAACAAGCAATCTATTCCCCAAAAAAGTCGTTCACAGTTTTTCTACCATCATGAAGATTCCTGACGAGGAGAAAGTTGGATAGTTCAAAAGTTTTCTCAGCACACTAGTACCCTGAAATTGAAAATTTAAGGGGATTTTACTTTCAGAGAAAAATATTCTTTAATAAACTACCCAGAATATAGTTTACTCTATGATCAGCACGCGTCTGCGTGCATGATAAAATGTATTTTCCCTTGGAGACTCGACTTGGTTTAATCATAAATCTTTTGCAATAGATGTACAATTGAAAAAGATGGTTTCTAGCATTATTGGGAATCTTTGAACAGTTTTTTTTAAGGGGCTTAAAAAAAACGCATTTTCAGGTGCATTGAAGACTATTTTGAAGCTGAATATGGTGCTGATGACACAATTTTCAGTCACCTTACATGGTTTATTAAAGAAGTAATGCTCTCAATCTGATGGATACTGTATCTTGATTTATACCATTGAACGTCTTTCCCAAGACCTTTTCAGAGCTTTATTAAAGAAAAAAAAATGTAGTACTGGAACAGAATTTGACGATTTCATCAAACTGAACTGATACTTGTACAGATTGGCTCTAGATAGAAGCCGTGTTAATACCTCAACTCAACTCAATTAAATTTTTCTTTTACCTTATTGTTCAGGAATAGACGGAGATTGTCACTGAGGCCTCTAGGGCTTCCAAGAAGTTAAATACTTATATTCCTGAATACAGCCTGCAAGAAATATACCAAATCATCTACAGAATGTTCCTCCACTCATTCACAAACAGATTTTATTTTAGCAGACAAAGCCTTTCAACTTATTCAGAACCGGCTAAAAAAGCAGAAAATTTTTGTTGGCAGAAAAAAAAAAACAGAGCAAAAATGGTTAAGCTGACCATAAGTGCAAAACCCAATGCATGCATTAGACTTTAGAGGATCTTGTCCACAACAATCTTGTCTTCAAGGATTTTTGATGGATAACAACCCCATGCTATAGGGGTTCTCTACACCAACAAAAATCTCTGGAAGGAACTTAATCTGGTCTCTTGAATTTTGCTGTAGAGAAAATCTGCCTGTATTGCTCATTCCCATTAGAATCTCATAGAGGAATGTGGACAAGCCTTTCCACTGAGCTCTCTTCTTTCATGGGTCCATTTCATCCCATACAAATTAATTGGCTAATCTACAGCAATCAAAATTTGCCAGTCTTGAAGGACTCAAGGCAATTCTCACGGGTTCCTTCTCATTGCTTTTTATTCGACGCTGGTGAATGACTCAATGGTTGTTCACATGCTGAATTGGTTGGTTATAGCTCAGATGATGCTATTTGTTAAAAGTAATGTTAAAGGTTCTTCTTCAAGTGTTTCCCACTTCTTCTCTAATTAAAGGAGGAATACACATTTTTTGCATCTGGGAGCTTGCAGTAGGTTGATTCATGGTTGACGCAAAATTGGAAACATGTTGACTGATTTTGTGCCCTTGCACAAGTGGTACCCTGCTGCAATTTGACTCAAATCCATTGCCAGACTAGGGTCAAACTTCAAAGTGGTTCAATTGCAAGAGACTGTAAAAAAGCAAACAAAATCAGCAAAAAAAATAATAAACACCAGAAAAGTGGTTGAAGGAGAGGTCAAATTTCAAAGCAAAGGTCAAATTGCAAGTCAACTTCCAAGCAAATTTGACTGTGAAATTTTGAGATGGTCAAATTTTGGGAGGTCAAATTGCAAGGTACCTCCTGTAAGAAGCCTCAGCAGTGAATCTTGCCAAATGGAATTTTGGCAAGGCTTGTATAGGCCTTATGAGAAAACATGTTCAGCAGCCAGGTTTGATCGGTTTGACTCATCCTATAGTTGTGACGGATTCCTCATCCTCCCATACCCACCCCATCATTTTAATTCAGGAAAGTTTTTTGCATGATTACTGTTCAAGGGAATGCAAAAAAAGGAATGAAAAATAGGAAAAGACGATGCTAACCAGGAATTGTCTGGTCGTATCCCTTGGTGAAGAACAGCATGGCCTTTGCGGCTCTTCCGGGTGTCTTGAGAAGGCCCTCACGAGAAGGATCTTCACCCAGTGATTGCAATAGTTTGAAATAAGCCGTCGTCATTTCCGGGATCATGTCTTCTCTCGTCAGTGGTTTGTGCTCCAATTCCAGATCGTAGTGGAATGAACACTTCTCGTGTCCTGAACATAATTCAAAACAATTAATATCTCAAATGATCAATGCATTTTTGAATCAATCAACCAATGGGCACAACAGCATCTTCAAACTCGCGGAAACAGACAAAAAATATATATGTAGATGTGTCAAGATTACGTCGCTTGTCCTCATTTCATGAGAATTTCTGAATAAATGATTTCTGCATGAGCCAGTGTCAATATTTTTCTGAATCTTCCTCAATTTGAAATGTTGCTTAAAAGTTTAGAATAAAGCCTCCTTATTTCTGACATTATGCAGTTAATAATAATCCATATTAACTTCATTATCATTTTTCTTGGTAGTAATACTGTACTGGGAAATCTCTTATTACAGTACTTTCTTGAGGATCACAAGAGTGAATTTGCAATGATCGCCTGCCTCATTATTTACGCGTACCTCAGTTTGGTCTTTGATGACATCTGCATTATTAGACAGATTCACAGGTTAGTGATCTTCCATAAATGAGAGTAATGTTTTTATAAATAATATTGATTAAATATTTTTCCGTTTGAAATGATGTCCAAGAATCCAGCAGAGCCTGTCCATATTTTTCCTGAGACTCCGGAGAAGATAAATCAATATGAACTTTATTACAATTTCTAGGTGATCGGGATGGAACGATGATCACCTATTGTTTCCTGAAGATTATAATGTGTGCAAAAACATGTTTTCACGATCTTGAAAAAATGATAGAGCTGCTTCAATGCTGCTTGGTTACCTTGAAGTAGACGGAACTCGAAAACAAAACGAAGCGGTTCATTCAACTCGATTTTCTCACGTCCTTATCTCAAAAATTCTGATTGAACCATAGAATCATACGAATATTCAAATCATGAAACTTGGCTGAAACGGGACTAATTTTTTGCATTCGGGAAAGATCTTGATAGTCACACCTTTCTTCCTAAGATACTGAAGAGGAAACAATATCAACTTTTTTGACATTAGCGTAACAGAATGAAACATTCTCATTCATTAATTCAGGAAACAGAGCAGATTCAGTTCAGATCACGTGAAAAGCATAAATCAGCGAATTTCAGACTCGAAAAACGAAGAACTCTACAGAAAAGCGATATGTTTCTTCATATTCATTCTCTTTGCATATTTTCCTGACAAGAACGGTGACCCACCCAAAAGATGAAAACAAAATGTTCAAAATAAAACAAATCGACTTTTCCAGAATCTATACAAAAGTGACAGTGGTTTTGATTAGATATTGTTGATTTGAATAACGTTGAAGATTTTCTCTCCAAGATGATGCTGAAAAAAATAACGAATTACTGCACTGTACTCTGTGAACGGTCTGACATGATTCCCCACAGCAAGAGTAGAACAAAGATCATTGAACCCAGAATTCCAGCACAAAACACCGGCTCGAAAATAAAACATTTCCCTCGCTATAATCACGGAAAAATTGAAGCCAGATTTTCCGATCATTTTACTAACCTGCGGAGATGCTCGTGGTTCTGGTACGAGTACCAACAGCACTAATCTCAACAGCATGTTGTTGTTTCAGCTTGCTGGTTCCTTTGCCATTGACCACGATATTGGTGGTGTTGACCGCGTTCGACTCAGCAGACATGAATTTTATGTTTATTTTTCCTTGTTGGAAAAAAAAAGCACTCGGGGATACGTTGATGGGAATGAGGAATAAACGAAGCTTGTGGCACACCGGACAGCACTGATAATCTCGAATGCTATACACTGTGAGAACCAGTCTTTCAGTGCTGCGGAGCCCGCGAAGAGGCTGTGTTATATCTGCAGGAATTGGATAAAATTATATTAATTTTTCAATGTAACAATAATGCTGGGAGAAGGATAATTTATATTTGATTGATTTTGGTTAGTGTTTGACCAGAATTCTAGATGTCTACTAAAATTCCAAAATAAGTTCCCGTCCTTATGAAACCTGCTCGTTTATGATATTGAAAAAATTGCAACGATTGATGCAAAAATGAGATATACAATTGCGGTACTTTTTCAGCCCATCACAATACAATTATTTTACTGAACATAATCTTTAACTGAGGATATGTTCAAATTTTTAGGATAAAAATTGGAAACATGAGTTGTGCTGAATAGATTGCATGAGGCCAAAAGAGATTTTAAAATGAAGCTACTGTATAATACTACCAAGCAATCATCAAATAACTTTGATTTGTGCTGCAGAATGCCAGTCTCCTCAGTTTGAAACAAAAGCTGTTCTTGAAACAGAAATATGATTTAAGATATCAGCAGCACCAGTAACCCTTCCTTGTCAGCAGTTATTGACCCATTGGATGACTCTTCCTACTATGATTGTGTCTACAACAAATTTTTCTATAATATAACATATTTATTTGCAGTCCTACAAGGTTCTCTCCTCATGTTATATAGGGATTCTCTACAATAAGTAAATAATATCTACAATACAGCACTCTCATCTGCAGCTCATTGTGTTAGTCCCTTTGAACTTGGATGCAAAGAGAGTCCACCTGTAAAAAATTTATTCAATGGGTGCAGTGTGGAACTGTTTCCTACACACACAAGAATGGAAATCATGCATTAAAAATATACTGCAACCTATTTATGTTCAAGGGGGAAATATGGTGATTGCTCCAAAGTTCCACTGGCAGCAAAGAATCAAGTTGTTCATTTCAAATCTGCAACTATTTATGCAACAACAACAAAACAAGAGCTCATGCATTCCATGCTACTCAAAAGATAAGTCCTTCCAAAAAGAGTCAGGGAAACCAAACCAATTCTGTTCTTCATATTCAAACAATGCCTGAGAATCTCTTTCATGAGAGTACTATTTGACCAGAACCACCTTAAAAAAGGCCTGGATGAAGATATCATTGTGAGATACGTACAGAGACGTATTTGGGGCTCTGAGCTAGTCTGATGATGGTTCTTTTCCTTTCTCTTAATTTTTTTAATACAAACAAGCCTCTTCAAGTCAAATTTGAAGAGACCAGCCAAAAAAATTTGACTTGGGGAGGTTTCCAGTCAGGAAAATGAGCATTTGTGCAAGCAGGGGAAAATTAAAAAGAAGAATTACAGGAAAGTGTAGTTGTGGATATTCTTTTCATCAAAGTGCTTCCTAAACGAGTTTACAGGCTAGGCTGGACTTCAATGCAAGGTTTAATTTGCCCTATTAGTCATATATTCATTTTTATCAATGCACACCTTGTGTTACATTTCAATTGTTTTTCTTTCTCCTATTGCAACACAAAATAGTGGGGTTACTCAAGTAACACATGAACCTTCTCTCGAAATTGATATGAAAAAAAAATTTAGTGCATTAAAAAATTAATCTAAAAAACCACGTTTTCAA